CGAGTGTAGGCGAGCACCTGCACCGGTGTGCTGCTACGAGGACGTACTCGGCGGCAGGAATCGACGACGCGTTACGCGCCACGCACACATGAACGGCGTGCCAGACGGTCCGACCGCAACAGACGGAACCTCAGAAAGATGGTCGTGACGTGATTCCGACAAGCGGATGATGGCGAGAGGAGCGGAGGCGAAGATGGCGAGTTGCTGCTGCTGCTACATTTTTCCCGAAACGGCGGCGATGACGGACAGCGATGCGAACGACGAAAACAGAAGTACGAGTGCGAACGAACGTGTGTATGTGTGTGCGTGCGCGTGACTCGGTGTGGCGTGTGTGCGCGCGCTGGCGCGATAGCAATACGTAACTGAACGAAGCACATCGCGCCGGGCCCGACCACCTAAACGCCGCCGCAGCATCGACACGAACAACCGCCGCCGTAACACCGCGCGATAATATTGTCGTCGCGTGTTTTCGTCTCTATCGTTCGTCGCGATATTTCCGTCGCCGCCCGCCGAAGTGCAGTGTACACGCCACACACACGCGCGCGCACACCACCTCTGTCGCAGCAGCATCAGCCGACACGGTGCTACGTGTGCAGCACGCGGGAACCATGTCCGAAACGGATTGGACGCTGCACGCGCTCAAGTCCATGCCCGGTAGCCCAACTAACGTGCAATGGGCCCCGGACCAAGACGTGACGGGCGTGATCGCCAAGCTCGAGGGTCGCGAGCTCGAGTACCTGATCCGGCAGAAGCGCATCGTCATCGGCCGGAATAGCTCCAAAGGCCAGGTAGACGTCAACATGGGCCATTCGAGTTTCATATCGCGGCGTCACCTGGACGTGCTGTACGAACACCCAAACTTTTATCTGACGTGCCACGGCAAGAACGGCGTGTTCGTGGATGGCGTGTTCCAGCGGAAAGGCGCCCCAGCGCTACAGCTGCCCAGGAGGTACGATACCCGGACGGCAGTTGCGGTAGCGTTGACGGCGGCGGCCCTCAAAGGCCGTTGTCGGCTCTGTGCGCCAAGGCTCGGTCTGTGCTTTTAATTGTTGCTAACGATACCGTCCCGGCATTTGCCTTTTTTTTCCATCTACAGTAAAAAAATCGCACGCGGCGCCGCCCCTCTTCCCTTCCCCTCAGTCTTTCAGTTTTATCCGGCTCGGCGGCCGCTGTGTTTACACACAACGTTTTGTTTCCCAAACGATTTGATAAACGAATCGGGGGACACAACGTTGTTACGAGCGATCGATGATAACGTGTTTTTGTTGTTTGGTTATAAATGGCTGCGTGCTAGTGTGTGCGTGTGTAACGGGTTTTCAAGGTCTCCCTGTTGCCAAAGTTCAAAATTGTCGATTATTGTTCATCCACGCGCATGCGACGCATAAAAGAACATTTTCTCTTATCATCATTCAGAATTGCCGGACTTGTGAACATAGCGTTACGTTCTGAGTCTGACAGCCACCCCAATCATCAGTGTATTAACAAAACGTTCTAATGACATCTATGTTTCCACTTATTTCTGCCCATACACATTTTGTCTTGTGGCCCTTATTTTCAGTTTACATTTCTATTTATGTTTTAAAATACTTAAGTAGTTTTTTGTTAATTTTCTATATAAATACCAAACCACAGCATTTTTTGAGATCCCAATATCTCACTTTATTATGGGTTAAACTACATGTAATAAATACTTTATATAATAAGTATAATAGGTAGTTTAAATATATTTCACATAAGAATTAGCATAATTTTTATTTTTGTCCATGTTACCTTTAATCAATCTATATCTAAATTGATTATAAAATATAGTTAAATAAATCTAATAAAGTCCAATTTTAATATTGTGTTTGAATGTACAATTCACTTAAATTTCTTTGTTTTTAATCTAACAATATTTATAGAATTAAGTGAACTTAAATAGTACATACTTAAATATTTCATTAAATATAAAATTAGAATTGTTAATTTTTTTTTACATTATAAAGTCAAATATGTTTTTAAACTGTTTGCTTTTGAAATGAGAATTATTCATAACTGTAGAATATCGTTCATGTGTCTGATAAAAATATTAGTCTTAAGCCAAAAATTATTAATACCTATCAATAAACATTCATTTTTAGGGAAAATTACCAGAAGAATTCATAATTGGTTTTTAATATTAATAATACAGTATTTAAAATAGTATTATACACTCATTTTCACTTACAGATTTTTAATATTAGTTTGAAATATAAGTTAAATTATAAATAGTAACTCCTATGAATTATCTGTGTTTCAATATTTGGGTACTATTTATTAATAATAGGGTACTTATTATTTAATGTTTTATTAGTATTAAAAATTTCTAATAATTAATTTTTGCAAAAAAAATAAAAAATAATATAAATAAACATTAATCAAATAAAATTGTAAATCTAATTATCTAAAAATCATTTATTTATTATTTTGTTTTTTTAGGTGTTTAATGCGATTTCCTAGTACAACAATTCGGCTAGTGTTTTATTCATTGATAGATGAAATGGCACCACCTCCTGTACTTCAGAATACATTTATTCAAACTCAAACTAGATCAATTGCAACACCTTCAAGAAGTTATGCAAATCCTCTAAGTATAAATATTCCTCCTCAAGTCATTAAACAAGAGCCTTCAACGTATTTATCAAAAGAAAATAGATTTATGAGTCCTTTTCCATCTCCTACTGGCACTTTAAGGTGAGCATAAATTTAATTCAAACATATTTTTCTTATTAATTATATAATTATTGTATTATTTTAATGTATGATAAAGTCTACTTAACTTCTACTAATACATAAATTTATACAAAAAGTATTATTTGGTAAAATATTATTTTACCAACTTTTAAAGATTTTATAATTATAATGAATGTTTCAATAAAAATTTCTTATACAAACAAGATTATAATATAAAATAATTTTAAACAATGAAAATGTAAAAAAAAAAATTAAAGTATTTATTAGTGGTGGTGGTGGTTGGACTTATTATCTTACATAACAGTCTGTCACTGGTAGGGAATTGAACAAACATCTGTCGTCCGTGAAAATTAATCTTCTGTAAACTTTTAATAAATAAATTTATTTTATGAATTTTATTTTTTAGTGCTGCAAATTCATGTCCAACTAGTCCTAGAGGAGGTCACAATCGACATACACTTGGACCCGATTTGCAAATGGCAGCATATGCAGCTGCAGTAGCTCATCCTGGTCAAATAGGTGTAATTTCTACGCCTACATCATCTGCTATTTATGTAGAAGAAAAGTAAGATTTTCTCGTACATTTTTCATTAATATATTTATGTTTATAATTTATATGTAAATTGTTTGTTTAGTAAACACTTAAACAATATGTCTAGTCAGAATAGCCGAGATGAAGAAACTAGCCCATTAGATGCAACTGTTTTTGATGTTAGCATTGGTAGCGAACCATTTGTTGGTGATTTTTATAGAAATGGTACATCAACATCTACCGGACAAAATTACAGTCCTCCTGAAACTGTAATCCAAGATAGATCAACACCTATAAATAACAACAATAGCAATTCTAATCCAAAATCTAAAGATGAGTCCAAACCACCTTATTCATATGCTCAACTCATTGTTCAAGCTGTTGCTTCAGCTTCTGATCGTCAGCTTACTTTAAGTGGAATTTATTCCTATATTACCAAAAATTATCCATATTATCGATTCGTGGATAAAGGATGGCAAAACTCTATTAGACACAACTTGTCATTGAATCGTTATTTTATTAAGGTAAATATTTGACAAGAGTTAGATTAGGTAAAATATAATAAAAAGTAAAACTCATAACTAAACTATAACTACTTAAAGTTAACTTATTTAAATTCTGTGGATTTAAAAAATATTTGTGGTTTTAGAATTTCTATTATTAATTAATTTCTAATAACTTCGAAAAAGTGATGTACAAAAAAGTTAAATATGCTCATTTAAATTGCAACAGAATTTTTACTTAGATTTTGTCATTTTTAACTAATTTTTTTTTTTTTTAATTTTTATAAAGGTTCCTCGTTCACAAGAAGAACCAGGGAAAGGAGCTTTTTGGAGAATTGATCCTTCATCTGAACAAAAATTAATTGAGCAAGCTTTTCGGCGTAGACGTATAAGAGGAGTGCCTAGTTTTAGGCTTCATAATTCATTTGGAATGTCTTCAAGGTAACAATTTAATATATATATAGATAAATAAAAACTATTGAACATCTATATTATATCATTGTTTAATTAAATCTTATTTTAGAAGTGCTCCTCCATCACCAAGTCATATTACTGGCGGTGAATTATCAATTGTAGATTCATTATCTAGAGAAACTTCACCATCACCTCCAGTATCTTCTTCAGACCAACAACAAGATGAAGTTTGTCTGACAAATTCTATCTCAAACCAAATTAAATCACCAAATAAAATTTCTCATACTAATGGTGTTGGTGTGCTTCACTATGTCTCATCAACAGGTAATAATTCTTATATAATTAAAAATATGTTACATAACACTAACATTTATTTTAATATAATATTTTACTATCTAATATATTATATGGTTATATACTCATATAGTATAAACTAATAATGTGATCCTTAAATAATTTGTTTAAACCACTAGATGTATACTTAGAAACTTCAAGTATTTATTCAATAATTTTGGATAATTAAATAAAAATCTTATTTCGGATAAAGAAAATCTAAATACAATATTACAGTTTTCTTTTAAAGTTTTTTATTATTAAATAAAAAAAAAAAATTAACAACATTATTAATTAAACATTTTTAATAATCCATTCTAGAAATATTGTATGTTAAAATGTATAAATGCTTGCATATTTGTATATTTTTTAGTACTGTAAGTTTCCTGGCTCTTGGTTAATAAAACATTAAAAAAATTTATTAATTTATTAATACTTGAAAACTAAGAATAAATATAGCTAATAGATAATAATATTATTAATTATTATCATTACCTAAGCTTAGAAAATGAATTTTTTACTATATATTATTTTCTAAGTGTTTCATTTTAATATTTTTAATTATGTAAAAATTTAGAATACTGATTAAATTATAATTGAATATTTCGTTTATATGCCATATATCTTTAAACTTAGCTGATAGATAATAATTTTAACATTGCATTATTTTTTTTCATTTTATAATTTAGTTTCATAGTCATATGCTACAAACAAAAATATTAAACTTTAATTCTCTTTCTTAGACATACATCATTAAATTGTTGTATTTTATTGATAATAGCATTATTGCATATTTAACCTGTCTATTGGAGTAGTTACTATTTCACTTGATAAATACATTAGTATTTTCTTAAATATTATCATTAACTGATAATAAACAGTTGCCTTTTTTCTTCAAATTTTTGACAAAGTATTTAAATTTTTGTTTAGCTAACAATGAAACTTTAGAAATGCAAAGTCCTCAACAATTAACTTTCTTAAAGTCACGACTAGTCTTGCCAGTGACAACTTATAGTAAATCTACAACTAGACATATTACAATAGTAAACAATGGACTTCCAACATCTCAGTCAGGTAATTATAATTTATTACAAAATCAATACTTACAAGCAAAAGGACACTCTTAATAGCATATCTTATGTAATATATTACTCATTTTTCATTAGTCTAACCTACATGCAAAATCAACAAAATAATTTTTATTTTTATGTTCTTAAGCTATTTTTAAGTAAAATAATCCATCATAATAATTATAAAGGTTAATATTTTTTACATTATAAAATATCTATTTGTTAAAATATTGTTTTAAAACAATTTAATATAGATATTAAACATATATAAATATATCAAACCTATAAAAATATTTTAATGAGTTTCATAACAGATTATTTTACTTCAGATTATTCAAAAATTATTAAAAAAATTAATGGATTTAATCTATGTTGTATGTGGGTGTGAGAATAAAAAAATATTGTAATGATTCATTCAAATCTTTACTAAACCCAACTATTATCTTTCAGGAATTGATTATTAACTGTATTATTATACAATTTGTTTTTATAGGAAGCACAACTAAAACTAACTTAAACTTTATCGCCTTTCCTCCACCAATCAAGGAGTCTTTATTGCCACAAGCTCCTGTTATTGTGCAAGCTTTAGATCAGACATTTGACGCGTAAGTAACTTGAGGCTTTAAATTAATAGATTTTAATTACTCTTAATGTTATTGTATCCCATTCTAGTTCTAAGCTGAATCATACATTAAATATTGATAAAGCAGTTAACCATCATAAACAAGTTGAAAATAATGAACTGCATGAGGATATATCTCAAAATAACCCCACTCAAGGAATAGAAATAGAATCTGGAGAATTCGGAGTTCAAGATATTCATGAAGAAATTATTGATGATACTCAAAAGACAACAGGAGAAAATATAGAACAGGTTAGTTTTTCACATAAATAAAAATAGAAATGTTATATATTTATTAGTGATAGGCCATGATATTATTTCAAATATCAATATCGTTCACAATTTGTTGATATTGAAATTCTTTTTTCATTTTCACTTAACCAAATTTACATCTTACTAACATCATTCATACTTGTATTAACATACAATTAAATGTATTATAGTTTAGATGCCTTAGAACCTGTAATTAAAATGTGCTTTTTGAAAAATATGATTATTATAATAAAAAAGATATCGCAATAGGTATATTTGAAAATTATTAATTGATATCAATATTGTATTGAATTATCGATATTGTTGTCCATCACTAATATTTATTGAAAATGTTTGATAAATACAAGTAACACATTTACTGTGTTATTGCATATGCTAAGAATGTAACTAATATTTTTATTGGCATCATATACTTTGATATTAAATTTGTAATATATCATTTGTCAACATTATGATTAAACATTAAACTACTAGTTTTTTATTAGCGTCTCCTATAAATGTTATTCATAAGTGTGCAAATCATGCATTGATATTTAAGTTTATCGATTCTTAAGAAAAATTTTTTAAATCACAGTTTTTTTAGAATCAATGATACTCTACAATATATTTAAATATAAACTGCAATTAACATCGTAAATTATTTAAAAATATTACTAAGTTATCATAAGTAGATACAACATGTTTTAGCATTCACATATTTTTTATTAATGTTTTTTTTATTTTCTGACTTATCAAGACTAAGTTTAGTTATTAAATTTTTAAAATCAGTGTGTCAAATGATTTTTAATTTTTATTATATGAATGATCACAACTTAATTTTTATTTTTATTTTTTTTTTATTTTTTACAATATAAAAATATAATTTTATTTTAAATTTATATTTATCTACAGCTAGTCATTAAGTTTAATTTTGTAATCTATTTTTATACATCCCATATTAGATTTATAGTAAATTTCTTATCTGTTTTTTTTTTTCGTTGCTAGTCTCAGTAAATACAAGAACATTTTATCTTATTTTTGTAGACATTTACATTTATTATCTATTATTTGATCTATTTTTGTATACATTTGTCATTTTGTCAATTTTATTGCATATTTTGCAATATTAAGTTAATGTTGCAGCATATATTTATGTGTTATCAGTTCTGTAAAATTCTTTTGTACAATTTATTGTGATTAACATATCAGTTAAGTTCTGTTTGCCTGCTGGCTGTCATTGCTTAATTACTAATTGGTATTAAAATATTATTTGGTGGTCCAAAAAAATAGATGTACATGATACTTTTACTAAGTTGTAACTCTAACATAATATGCATTATATATTTAGATATCCAACATTATCATTCTCTTCTTACATACATTCACATTTTCTATCTGTTACTATTTCTCAGAGTATCAAAATGTTCTTAGTTTTAGCTATCATTATCATTGACCTGTTTAAAGTCATTCATTATCCATATTTTAATTTGTTACTTGAAGATAATGTTTATCTCAAACATTTCCATTTAATTCTTGTCTCATTGTTAATTTTTTTTATGTTATTTCTCGTGTTTTCATTTATTGTAATAATTGTGATTTGAATATAACTATATTTTTGTACTTATAAACATTAAATTAGTATTTGAATGTAGTATTGTATTTATTTTTTTTATATCATAATTTATATAAACCTATTTAATTCATCGTTTTGTGATTTTTGTTTGTTTAGTCATCTAAAAATTTCAAACCTGAAGAATCTTCTGAAAATGGAAATCAACAAGTTGTTGGCGAAGATGTTGAAGAGGAAGAAGAAGTAGTTGAAGATAACAATTTTGAAGAATCCAAAGAACCGGATACTAATTATTCTAATAATTTTCAAGAACCACAAGCTAAGCGTGCCAAATTAAATTATTATCAACAAGAAATAAATGGCGTCCCTTAAAGGTAATTTATATATTAAAAATTTAAACATGTTATTGTTATGTTATAAATAGGTCTTATCTAAGACATTTTTTTTCTGTACATAAATTATGTATAAATTTTAAGTGGGCTACAAAATTATTGTTACTGTTCTCTTTAATTAATTTTGAATTATCTAGCTTAAATCAAACTAGGTATTTCTCTCTGTCAAAATGTTTAGTTATTTTATGAATTAAGTAATATATTTTTATTTTTTGCTTGAGCAGAATTATAGGCAGTATATTATTATGTTATAAGATACCATACTACATTAATAATCAATGTGTAATTGTAAGAATATTGTATTTTTGCTAAACATGTTTTTATGATTGTTTTAGCTACTATGATATTATACAAATTATCATTGCAAATATAAAAATAATCCAAGTGAACAAGGTAGCCCTAAATTTGACATGTTGATCATCATTATCATTTTATCCTATGTCTTATTATGTTCCTTGTATATAACCGTAATAACATATCTATTGTAAAATAAAATTTTAATTCCAATTAATTGACAATTTATTTTTGGTTGATAGGGAATCTTATTTCTTTTTAAAGTGCAATTACATATTTTAATCTTTCTATATTTTTTCTTTTGTTATTATTTTTTTGTTGATTTTAAATGTTATCAAATTTAAATAAATTGCCATAATTTTTAATCAGTATGTGGACAAAAGCTATTTTTTTCGGTTTTTAATTGTTTGAGAATTTTGATGTTATAATAAAAGTTCATTTTTAATAAATATGTGATTGGACATTTTATATTATTCAAAAAATATAATATAATTATTTTTATAAAATAAGTTTTTGTCTACTTAAAAAAAAAATGTGTTACCATTTGTGTTTAGAAAGATTTAGTTTACATTGGTATTAAAATTATATAAAATTAAATTTAAACTTAACTCAATTTGTTGGGTTACATAAACAAAATTATTATGTTGGATTTTTTAAACATCTTGTACATTTTTCTTGTTTATTTATATATTATAAATATTTCAAAAGTATTTTTCAATCAGCAAATAATTATTTTTTCATTTAGTTCTTTACTAAAAAATATGCACAAATGCAAATGTGTATTTATAAAATATTGTATTATTGTCTTGGGATATCTTTATTCAATGGATGTGCGTGGAACCCGGCTCTACCATATTTATGTGTATCCCTGTCTCTAGTTGTATAACCCTAAGCAATTCCGACAAGCACAAATGTATTTTTTTTTTATAAAGATTGTAATAAACATGATGTTGTTAGTAGTATTTATATATATCATAATATAATAGATTCAAATTGTATTAAGGAATAAAAATAGTCAACGCAATACTTTTTTAGCACACTTGTAAGTGTAATATAAGATTACTATTTACTTTATTTTGTTGAGACATTAAATTTATAAATTATTTAGTTTGAGTGTTGTTATTGAAAAATAAATAAATAAATCGTCTTTCCCTCTATTCTCAGAAATACGAGAAACATATTTTGAATCTCCAAGTGTTTTTTTTTTTTTTTTTTTTATTCTAAATGTAAAACCATTAGCGTGTGTATGGTCCAAATAATATGAAGTTTGTATCATGACGTACAGTAATAATAATACGTTATCGTCGTATTGCACGAGTGTAAAAAAAAATAACAAAACTATATGGAAATCGATCCGTTGTTACAAAAAAAAAAAAAAAAAAAAAAAACAGAAATACGACGGCGGCGTAACCGAAGTCCGCAGCAGCAGCTGCTGATGCGTGTGCATGATATAAATGATAAGGTATGATCAGGAGTTCGACGGTCAGCTACTTAGGTAGGCGCCAAGTGACGTAGCGTAATGATCAGTAACTCAGTATTAATGGCATAATGACAACATGATAATACGAGCGAGCAAGTGACGTGTTGCGCAGACTCGAACCAAATCCGAACCTTTACGGTCATACCAAGTCGTACGTATCGTATGCGCCGCTGGTTTCGGATACTTCGTTTCGCGCGCCTTTCTAGTTTCCGGACGTCGTCGTCGTCGTAGCATAACGGTAAATACAGTGTGACCAACAGCGCGCACGTCTGACCGCCAGTAGCTGATAAGGGGGCCTCCCGTAAGGAGGGCAAAGCATCACGGAACTTCCATTGCTGTCCGTAACCCGATGGCGTTCAACAAGTAAAATACCCGGCCGCCTCTACAAGGTCGAGAACCGGTCGTCACCATCCGCGGGCGGCCCCGACACGGTAATACCGCGTCGCCGCCCGAGGCCGGAGAATTGACGGTCGGACCGTGTGGCGGCACTGTTGCCTCGGTGAAAACGTCCATTCGCAATGGCGTGTACGTGGACGGCGAAAGGTATTCCGTAGTTTTTAACTGGCGGCCGTGTTCACGTCGACGACAATCGAGCAGCGCGCGCGCGTTATGTAGTGTTAGTGTTTTTATTATTTTTATTATTATTATTATTATTTTTTTTTTTTCAATCACTCAAAATATATACGACTTAAGTATATATCATGTATTTTATATTTTATCCCTTATAGTTTTTTTGATTTATGCCCGCGAAACGAATCACGAAAACCATACCAATAGCGAACATATTATTGTTGTTGTACATAATAAAATATATTGTATAAAACCAGCCGCTGCTGCCACCGCCGACGCCGACGGTACCTGAAAAGCTGCCTCCCCCGTCGACTGGTCTCGCTGCGAAAAAGACGTCGAATCGGAGCCACCGAAAGCTGACGTCTGAGCGTCGTTGCCGTCGCCGTCGTGTGTGAGTATCATCCGTGTGAGTAGCCGCCGCCGCGTCGTCCCCGCTCACGTACAACACAGGGCCTTCTCTCCAAAATGGCTCTGCCCCTACCTTTACGTAGTGGTGGCCCGCACATGTATGTGTGGATGGCGGTGCGTGTGCGTGTGCGTACGCGTTTTCATCCCGACTTGGGTCAACGGTGGTGTGCCGTGCCGTCGCCCGCCCGCCCATCCGCCCTCCAAACGCGCTCGAGGTGTCCCTCTCCTAGGAGCATTTTTATTATTTTTTCCCGTTGTCTTGTTGTTTTTTTTTTATAATCGCATCGAACGCGCCGTCGCGTTCTTTTCCCGCGAGATAACGGTACGCACCTCGCACACCAACGGTGGTTGTTTGCCTTCATTGTCGATGTCGATCTTGATCGTTTAGGTGGACAATAGAAATTTTCCATAGGATCGTTTTTTTTCTACCCTTGGAACGGGGGGGCACGAATCTGTGAACTGTGTGCGAGTCTGGACGTGCACGCCTTACGATCGCACGTTATTAAAATATATACAACGATGACGACGAGAGGACTACGGCGCGCGCGTCTCGAGAAAGTACAGGCGGCCGATTTTTATAAAATATTTCCGTACCGATAAGTAGGTCTTGCGGCATATGATAGTCACATCCTGGTTCTTTAGAATAATACAATTTTTTTTCCATTCCGTTCCTCCGCTCATTATACACGCGACTGGATAGTAGAAAGTGAAAGCGTGTACTCTACGACCGTCTATTATAGTAATAATAATATATATTTTTATTTTTATTATTACATTGCTGGCAAGCGAGTGTGTGTGTGTGTTTGTTTGCGAGAATTATACGTACGCGTGTGCGTTTGAGGCTCTGTTGGCCTGCTCGCGATTTTCTTTTTGTAAAAACGCATTCCGACGTGTGTGCGTTTTTCGGGACGCGTCCGCAAAAATTTCGGGAAAAGTCTGGGTCGGACGAGAGTATAGATTTTTGCCGACGTCGTTCCCCGTCGACGTTTTTTGGACTTTTTCATTGTTCTTAACGCCAAGTATGAAACGAACAACTATAGTAATGATTCCGTTTTAGTATTTTTAAGAACAAACTACGACGGTATTGTTGGTATTATAACATACAGTCAAAAACAAAAAGGTACTCTTTCTAATTGACCATATAATTTTGTTGTTTTCCATTACTCATTCTCCTTTTCCGGAAAACAGTGTTATCCGATGACGACACCGCTGCTTCCTCCAAAAGAGATTCGGATCTGTATGCTATTCTCGTTTATTTTTTTAATTTTTACACTTTGTGCCTATCACATTATTTAATTTTAGTGCAATGTCATAAAAATCTCGGCTGTCCGTTATCTACCCACTTGATATCTGGCACTTTTTTATCTTGTAGATTCAATTTTTCAATTGATATTTTAATAATTAATCGCGTATATACCATTTTTTTTCTTCGTAAAATTATTATGTAACTAAAAATCTTAGATAGCAACGATTGCCGACGACACACTTGCATTTGTTATTTTCTCGTGTTTTTTTTTTCCAATATTCGTATACAAAGTATCATTACTCAATATAAATAATACACGATGTAAAAAATGTCTTTGTTTTACATTTCTAGCGCATAAATACTTATACACCAGTGCCTATTACAGTTTTTATCATTATTATTATTTATTTATGACACACCGATCTATTGTTTTTTTTTTTTTTTTTTACATAGTCATTATACCAACACAAGCATTATATTTTGAAAAAATAATTTTAAACAATATTGTTTTCTTTAAATGTTAAATTTAAACCATAAATGATATTTTAAAACATAACCAAGTATTTACTAACATTCTAATTTATTAATAACTCATACTTAAAATTACCTTAAGGGTTAACCTTAAAATATACTAGTTAATAGACATATCACTGCTCTTGAAATTTTTAATACTAAATGTTGTACATATTATTATTGAATATAAATTCTATAAAATGTATAGATATTAAATTAATGATAATTATTGTATATGTTTGTTTGTTTATATGTTAAATATTAATGACTAACATCTCATTTTAATATATGGTTGATTAGAGATATTGATAGTCAAACTGATTTTGTATACTTCTTGATTCTTTACTAAAAAATAATATTTTTTTAAATATATGTTTACTTCACTCTTAAAATTTCAGTTATATTGTAATCTTAAGTCTTTAAGGTTATCTGTAGAACTATTCATAATACATTATATGAGCTTTTACTTCCTACTTCTTAAACTATATAATGAATCTAAATAATATATGACATTTATTTAATAGGAACAAGATACTGAGTTACAATTAATTAGTAAAAATATTAAAATAAAATAATCATAATTAGTTATATTAGTTAAAAAAAACATTGATGATCTTATCAGATAATGTAATATGATGTGTCAATGATTTAAGGAAAGTAGTTTGCTAATATTTTATAGCTAATCCTTATACAAAAAAAAAATGTGTATTTCCTTTTTAAAACCGATAAGACAGTATACTAATATGGTATTTTTTAAAAATTACTTTAATTATAAATTTTTATACTTTTAAAACGTGTGAAGTTAAATTATGGCATAAGTAGCTATGTATCTACAACTTTCATAAAGTAATGGTACAACAAAGCACAATCATAATAAGTTTTGGCCCTTCTAAAAATAAATATAAATGGTATTAAGTAATAATCACATTTTTCAATTTGAGTGTTTACCTTAGAAAGTAACAATACATAGGACCTACTTAATTTAACCTTTACTCCTTGTGATATTTTAGTATATTGAATAATATTCTTGGAGACTTCATCTTTTTAAATTTAATTGCTAAACAGTTTAGGAATGTAAAGATGGCTGTACTTAAATTTTTTGAAATATGTTCACTGTTTAATAAATAAAATTGAAATGTGAATGGTATTCAGTAAAAGTAATTAATATCATATTAGAATTCTCTTAGGCAATTTATAAATATTTTTACAGTTAATCTGTTTGAAATAGTATTTGCCTTATTATCAACTATGCAGTATATTATTGATTTTAAAAATAAAGCAATAATATTTCCATGTTTTTCAAATACATTTTTTGCTCCTACTTTTATATGAACAATTAATTTCTTAGAAAATTGCTGAATAAAATATATTAAATAGAATCTAAAATAAAATTATTTTTTTTAAAAGTTTCCTTTATTGCCCCATTATATAATGATTTAATAGACCTTGAAATTTCTAGTTTAGTTTTCTATATATACTCAATATAAAAGTACTTAATAAATAAAATCATGAAGTATAAATTACTAACATTTAAAGCTTAATTAAGTTAAATGTATTTGCATAACTTCTATAACAAAAAAAAAAATAAATGCATCCCTTAATATAAATTCTATAATAATATTATGAAACAATCAATTATAAAACAATATTTAAAAATAGATAAACATTTTATTTGGTTTTGTGGAATTTTTTTTAAATTCCAAGTTGATAAACATATCTATTACTGATATAATAAATAATATAAAAAACATAAATATGTATATATCCAAAAATATTTAATAACAGATCTTATATTATTGAATTACTATGTAAGCTGACAATAAATAGCATTATCATGAATTATTTTTTAACAATTTAAACAAATTCTTAGTTTTAAATAGTATATAGATATTTAGACTTTTTTTAGTTGAAAATTCTTTTATACTGGCTTCCAAACAATTTTTTACTTCATATTGTTTATGGTTAAAAAGTTTGACAATATATTATTATACAATGCTAGTGTTGGGTATTAATATTAAACGTGTTTGTTCTTTTAAGATATAATTTTATTTATAAATAAGTATATTTATATCAATATTTAAATTCCTGATTTTATTTTGATTTCACAAACTTAACTAATAGTGTATTGATATAAAAATTTATCTATGAGTTAATGTTATTATTGAGGTTTGATTTCATCACAATTATATTTTGCTTATAATAATAGTTAATTGTTTTTAATTTAGATTAAAGTATGAATACTGGAAGTTATCCTACATTTGTGACCGCTGCGCCGGCAACTTCGTTTAACACCTGTTCAAGTGCAAACATGACTCAAGTGAATGCAGGAAACAAATATACAAATGTTCAACAACAAACTGATACAGTTAACACTAATACAGTAGTTAATACTTCTAATACTAGTGGACAAGTGGTTGCACTTTTGAACAGCGATGAAGCCGGTGTAACTTACTTGAGACCTCTGGATTCAAATGGTTTTGCTGTAAATTTAGCTGGAGTTGGATCATCTAATCAACAAGGACAAGTATGTTAAATATTATTTTCAATATATATATATATATATATTTAATTTTCATATTATTTTTTATTTAGATATTTACTATTCCCATAACTGTTCCTGGTTCTAAACCTGGAGAACAAAGCCAAACTATACAAATTCAAGTAGTTGGGCAAGGTGGTATATCTGGTGATAAACTTTTGCCTGTTTTTGGTCCAGTATTACAACTGGCGTACAACCAACAACAAGACAATGGAACCATTCAACTTCAAGTAAGTCATCCCAAATAATAAATGAGAAATGGGTGCTTAATTTTTGCCAAAAATGATTTAGAATTTTATAAAATCTAAATACTTTATGATAAATTCATTAATAATATTATTTTTAATCTTTGGTTTTGTAAAATTATTTAAAAAAATTTAGTTTATGTTTTAGTTATTTTATATATCCAATTTATACTATAATTGGCCTAGTTTTTGGAAATGATAATTTGCTTTTGCTCCATTGTCATTTATATTATAATTCAATAGTTTTAAATTTCTGTATATTTTCTATTTTTATTGTATTAGTTGCAGCAAGATGGTGATGTTTCAAATGACCAAATACATAACAATAACAATGATTCAATGCAATCGTCTGATTTATTGCAAGACGTTCAAGAAGACCAAGTAATTCCTTTCTATTGATTAATTATGTTATTGATTTGATATTTTTATGATAAATATTTATATAATTTAAATATGTTAGGATATGATACAAGATGTCAAACCAGTAATTATCGAACAAAGCGGCACAGATAGTAATGGTTTACCATTTCCATTAGCAGTAGTGGTAAATCAAGACATGGTTGTGCGGCGTAATCAGCAAGACAACAAAATAATTGGCGATCAAAAAGATAATCAGGCGGACAAACGATTAAGAATTCAAAATGAACAAGATCCAGGTAATAATGAAAATACCTAATTATATTTTATTGAATTAAAATATTAACAAATAATTTTACTTTCAGCAAATCAATATGTCATGACTTACTCATCTAATTCAAATAATTCTGTTTCATTGGCTGATTATATATCAATGAATCACGATAATATACCTCTTGGACATTTTTTAAAATTTTCACCTGATAATAATAAAAGAGATAGTATGGAATCATCTGGTAACCAAGATGATGGCAATAATGAAATGGTAGTTTACGAAGATGCCAATAGTGGGGTAATTATGAATTCATATACTCATTACTTACTTTAATTAATTTAACTGATAGCAAAATGCAACATAACCTTAGTTTTGATATTAATATTAAAATATTCTTGTATGTTGAATGTTTTGTATTGTATGCATCCTATAATTCAGTATATTGATGACTTATTAGTTTTTGTGAATTTGAATAAAATATTTTTATAGAACTATAAAATACTAATTAAAAAAAAAATATTTTTATTTAAGAAATCACATAAATTTACTGAAAAATGTAGGTAGTAAAACGAACAATTAATAAGTTAACTATTTTTTTATTTTGTTATTCTAAACAATATTTATGTTATGCAATGAATGCATTACAATTGTTTAAATTTCGGCTTTTAATTTTTCAAAGATTTCTATTACTCTGTCTTTTTTTTAAATTATCATTTTACTTAAATTACATTTTTAAACAAAGGTTTTATCCTAGTTAATTTATTCAGTTCTTAAAATATTCTTTAAATTTTTAGGAAAAGGGTAAAAGAAAAAAAAAATACAAAAAGAAACCACCAGCTGCTCGAAAACCACGACCTGGTCAAATACATATTGCAACTGCTTTAGATGGTACACTTCTATTTTGTTGTCCAGAATGTAGCATGGCTTACCCTGATAAAGAAATGCTTGAACAACATTTAGTTGCTCATAAAATAGAAAGAAGATTTATATGTGACCTATGTGGTGCTGGGCTTAAACGAAAAGAACATTTAGAACGACATAAATTGGGTCATAATCCAGAACGACCATTTGTTTGTAATGTTTGTTGTAAAGGTAAATTTTTAATTATTGTAATAAATTGTTATCAAATAAAAACATATGTATAATATTCTAGAATAAGTATTAAAAAATTTTATAATTTAGGTTTTAAAAGAAAAGAACATTTAAATTTGCATGCTGTGATCCACTCTGGTGTAAAGACTGAAGTATGCCAGGATTGTGGTAAAGGTTTTTACCGGCGAGACCATTTAAGAAAACATACTCAAAGTCATATCACTAAACGTTTAAAAGAAGAACATGCTGCTCTTCAACAAATGGCAGAACAAGTAACAGTATCAGATCGTCAAAAAATGTCTGTTCCAGAGCTCATCCAAAATCAAAGTCATTCAGGACCAATCATTAATTTGGCTCATCAAGAAATGATAATTGATGCTGTTGCTAGTGGGAGACATGATAGCCCTACCCCTCCAAGTGATCATCAAATTGTCATCACCAAAGGTAACCAAAAACTTACTGAACAAGAGTTGATTATACTACAGCAGCAGCAGCAGCAGATTCAACAACAGCAACAACAACAACAGCAGCAGCAATTACAACAACAACAGCAGCAGCAGCAACAACAACAACAGCAACAGCAGCAGCAGCAACCAAATAGTCCAAATATAGCCCAACAAGAGATGATCATTGAGGCTGTAGGACAACAACATCATAGTCCATCTCCACCACATGTGGAACACCATCAAGTAGTTATTACTAAATTAGAACCAACAGAGGATTCAAGAGAAAATGAAAGTATTGTTTTGACTCAATCTGATGCTAGAGAAGCACTTGGTTTACTACACCATCAATCTCAATGACCTATACTTTCAATTGCCAAGGTGACAGTTAAACAGAAACCACCATAATAATGCAAGTATACTATTGGTAATCTATATTAATTGTTTCCTAAAAGTAATTTGATCTAAAACCAATGTTAACATATGATACTATTTTTAAATTCTACCAAAAATAATTTCCATTATTTTTTTTTTATAACAATTATATAGAAACAGGTGCGCTCAATATTGTAAGTAATAAAATTTACATGGATAACATTTTTTTTGCATGAACAGCAAATAATTTTGTGAGATTGATATTTTATTAATACAAACATATTATATTTATCGTTTCTGACTGTCAAAAGCATATATGTCAACAACAATTTTCCGCTAACCTAGCCTATTTATTTTATTGAAGCAAAATATTATTTAAGTTCGTCAAATCATAATATTTTATTATTACTGTCATCATAATATTATTGAAGTTTTAATATCTTTTAGTTAAATATAGGTTTATGAGGATAAAAGACTCATAATTTCTTATTTCAAGTAAATATAGGATAAAACAAAAAAAAACCTATCTTGCTCACCATTCTTTATTTATTGAAGATATACAATTCATCCCATTGACAAAATTAAAATCTTAAATTTAGATTAATAAACTGCAGTACTAAAAGCAGAATAATAAATGAAATATTTTTTATTTTTTTAAATTTTTAAAATATTTAAGATAATTAAAAATTATTATATAAAAAGTGTATAGTCTATTTTACTTATAACTAAATTGTATATTTTTAACTTTCCTTATTGATAAAAATATTGTGTAAACATGTTATTTTTATTTTTTACTAAACATTTTATTGTTTGTTATATTATTATTAAAATATTTATATTTAAAGTATAATAATATATTTTAGTTAATTAACAAAATCTTAAATATAAATGTAGCATACTCTACATTTAAATTAAATTAAATTATTTATAAAATAATAGGGTATATTTTTTAATTTATTGGACAGTTAATGTGTATATTTCCTATTAATGCTTAATAGTTTCATTTTTTTATGTTTTATTATATTATGACTTTTTTAACCACATTCTTTAATAGAAAACCATATATTATCTATTAAATTAGTTTTATATTAAATAATTGATTTTAAATGTGTTTGATACTATAATAGACCAAAGTTGATAAATTTCATTTATTTTATTACCAAGTATAATTAAAAGTTAAGTATATAATTTTTTAATGAATTGTAAATTAACGCTTTTTAAAAACATCTAATACATTATTTTTTTTTTAAGTAAGCACTGTGATACAAAAAAAAACTAAATTTAATTTATGTCTATGGCTTTTCTGTTATGTCTTTAAGATACCAGATACTAATTATGTGATAAGTTGTAGTTTTCATACATATATATAATTATTATATGTATGTATGTATACTCATGCATATTTATAAACAATGTACACTATGATTTTAGAAATTTAGCAATAATAATTTGATTTGAGGGTAAAATAATACAATGTTAGTTTATTTATGTTCACAATAAGTTAAGTAATTTTAATGTAATCTAAGAAATCCGTTATTTTGTATTAAGTTTTTTTTTTTTGTTTTTGTTATGTTGTCAATTAAATTGTCTAAACCAAAAAAAAAAAAAAAAAAATGTAATACACATACTACATAATATGTTTAATGTTCTATAATTTTAAATATGAACTATGTGATAAGTTACAGTGTAAATAGAGGTGCATATCATCATCTAGATCTTAAAGTGTTAAAACAAAAATGACAATATTTTTTTTACTTGATATGAATTTTTATACAGCTATTTTTGTTAGCCATATGAATGAGGACAATTTCACATATTTTTTAGTTACAATTTCAGCAAAATTGAATGTTATTAACTAATAATTACTATCACTTTTATATTATTTATGTTAACATTTATACTTATGTGTAAGGAATGTTTTGTATTGTATAAACATAATACATTAATTTTGTTGGTTGTATGGGCTAGGTTAATTCATTTTTATTTAATTCAGTTTACATTATAATTTGTCTTAATATTTTTGGTTAAACGGTTTTAAATAATACATGCATTTATTATCATTGATTAACAACATATTTTTCTTTGTTTTAGTTTTACTTATAAAATAAATGCATGTGATTTATGTATTTATTTATGGTTTACTTGAGGTAACATGTGTTTTTTTTTTTTACATTTATACCAAATGCAATCTTGAAGATGTCTATTATTTACTATTTTCTATCTTAAAATCGGTAGAAGTGTTATATTTATGTCACTCTGGTTCCAGATATGATCTTCCTAAGAATTAGCATTAAACTGCTATTCAGGCGGTTTTAATTGTTCTTCATTACATCTTCATCTTATTATTTTTCATTCAAGTAATTTCTAAATCCATTTTTGTTTTTTTATGTTTTTATTAAATTAAATTAAAAATGTGTTTTGTTTAATTTTATTTTAAACATAATCAACATTATATATATTAAATTCTAACTAATAGTATACCTATTTTTTGAGATCGTCCATGGTATTTATAACACCTGTTTTTAAATTTTAATACTTAATATGGGAAAAAATTATATTAAATTGTTTACCTGGTATCAATGTCACTACATAATATTGTGAAGAAAGCAAGAGAATTGCAAATGATCCAAATCTGTATGTTAATATATTATGCGTATATAATTATAGTCTATAGATAACTGTCTGTTATCTGACCAGGTGTACATATTTGGTTATGTTGTCCACAGTGGTCAATATGTATGACTTGAAAGAGTGATAGTAATGGATGTAACAAGTTCAGTTGTTTTTCTACTGTCCTCTAATACCTTAAACGATTTAGGTACAATATATTGATATGTAAACGTCAATGTTTCTTAGCAATTGTGTTCGAGGAAACCTAAGTTCTTGGGTTGCAGAGAAATTCCCTCCATAGTCTTGCGAACGAATTATGTTCCTAAGGTTATTTAATACGCTTCAAACGATCATGTATTCTCAGGAGATTGGAATACAACGTTTATTTATCGTATTATTTAAATATTATACTTGGGTAATAACAAATAAGTAATACTATCATCAATGTTTAATAAATTAAAAAAAAAAAAACAGACCCAAGCACGTATAGTGGTGTACTACATTTTAGGAGCTCGGTAATTAATAGTCTAGTTACGTGGTATAAATCAATTTAATTCTTTTTAATATTGCGTATTTTAAACGCTTAAAATTTGTACATGTTTCTTACTTTGACCACCGAATACAATACAATTTGCGTAGGGTTGGTGTCTTTTTATTACGTTCGTTCATACGATTCAAATACGATCGTCGATCGTCTAAAGCTGCCTTAGGAAAGACTGGTAATCAGTATTCTTAAATTGAGTCAGGATGAACCCAAAGTTTTGTAAACAAATAGTTATGCATAATTTTTTAATTATATCCATATCAATAAGAGTAGTGAGATATTTAAATATTCAAAAATAAGCACATTTTGCTCATCATTTCTCAGCAGTGTAAGTAATAAGTAATAACTTACCGTTATAGAGGCTGTATATAAGTAATAATTTGTAACTGTAGTCTGTAAGACTACACTACATCTCCGTCTTATTTTTAGCATAAGACATTCAACGGTTCCAATTTTGTAATTTTTTAAATAATCTCAATAATAATATGAGTTGATTTTATTAAAATTAAAAGTAAAAACATTTATGTTTTCACATGGGTTTTTTACGATATTTTTTTGTTCAAGCAAGTTATAAGTAGATATGTAAATTAATACTATTTACAAATTGTAAAAATGTACTTTTAAATAATTTAAGCTTGGAAATAGATTGATTTTACCTAACTATTAAAGGTTAATACAGTTTAGCAGTTTGAATAAAAAATTGATATTATGTTGTAGGTATATGTTTGCAAGACAAAAAATACCTACATATTATTCGGGTGTGGCGTCCTGAAATTATTCTCACTTCTGTTTTGACCGCCCATGGACTCGATGTCTATTGTAGTTGTATTCGATCGCACGCGCAATAAACCCGATCCGGTGTCAATAAGCTAAACGCATATTTCCAACTGTCGCACCAATAAATTGACTCGTCCATCATGTTATGTACCTATGTAATATCGATCTATTGGCGTTTTCATGGACAGCATATGACATTCGTGTACTAGCACCGCGATACTTGGATATTATTGATACTAACAATTAAAATAAATATTTAAATTTTTTATAGTAATTCAAAGACTTAATCATGTCAATTTGAAATATTCTACTATTACTTAAATCTATTATCATTATTTTCTAATTTTCTTTATGAAATATTTAGATTAATTTTAAGTTATTGTAACTATTTATTATAATTTATATATTACATAGGAAAAATGACCTATAGAATAAAAACCAAAACGATTTAGTCAAAGCCATACCAATGGATAGAAGGGAATGGAGCAAGTCGCAAGTGTCCTAAGGACGGGAAAAAAGTTAGTAGGACCTACTTTTTCACTTTTATCATTAGTTCATACTTTTGGTTCATTATGATCACCATACCTACCTATACAATAAAATATTTTCCCGAAAAATGTGTAATCCAACTTCCAAGAAATGGTAATGTAATAACTAGAGTTAGGATGTTGACGACTTTTGCATTTTTTTTTCCTTTTATTTTGTACAATGCTATCCTTGCTAAAAATTTGTTTTATGCTCCCTTGATGCAGAATATTCTAATTTTATTTTGCATTTTTTTGCATTTTTTGCATTTTTAGCTATAAATGCATTTTTTTGTTTTTTAACGTCATTTTTTTAACATTTTATGTCATTTTTTCATCTTTTAGGGCATTTTTTGTACTTTTTATACAATGTGGGGCATTTTTCACAAATTATAGATTTTAGGGCAAATGTTACACAAAATATGTTACGTAAATATTTTTAATATAATTTTTTTTTTATTTATATTTTACTTTTTAATTTATTTTTAATATTGAAATTTATTTATAAATTATTTAAATGCTTCTACTATTACACCCATTATTATACCCATATTTCTAATAAAAATTATTATTTATAAATAAGTTTTTTTACTTACTTAATTACAGTGGCGTATCCAGGATTTTTTTTAGGGAGGGGGCACACACTGTCTAAAATTTTACCATATATACTACCTACTACCAAAAACAAAAAAATAAAATGAACCAAATATTTTATGTTTATAGTGCAAATAATTTGTTTATATTTTCAGTCAGTCATTAAGTTAATATATATATATACAATGTACATAATAATAAATAGTAATGGTAATTTAATAATAAAAACGGGTTAATTCCAAAAAAATTATAAGTGTATGTAATGCTGGTATAAGAGTATTATTGTAGTATGCGTTCGTGCATACAAATAAATTTTAATCTTTAAAACAAAATTTAGTAAATAAGGCCAATGAGGGGGGGCCATGGTCCCCATGCCCCCCTGGATACGCCACTGCTTAATTCGTATTTTAGATAACTTTTAGGTCATTTTTTGAAGTTTTTAGGACATTTTTGTGTGTTTTTTAGGTCATCAACATCCTAATTCTAGTAATAACACAAAAATAAGATAAATAAAAATAAAAATAAAGAAGTTAAAAGTAATGGGAGAAGTGGCCAGACTGACATAAGGGACACAAGCCTTGTATGTAATTCCGGTATTAAAAATTATTAAATGTACTTGTTCTCGTGTTATACTTTCCTCCTGTTCTTCGAAGGGTTCTCGAGATCGTGATTCGAGAACATGATCAAATACACCGTTATGTAAATTAGATGGTAAAAGAATCTGTACTAACAATAAGTATTTTGGGCATGGACCTTACCTGGTTCGCCGCAGTGAATACCTGTAGGCTGTCCGCTGTAGTACGTTCCTCGGAGAAAGATGCAAGGTGACACAAGTTACGATACGACTTACGAAAAACTTAATTTTAAATAAGAAAAACAACTCTGATTTAACTTATAAAAAAAGGAAGTTCAGCTGTCGCTCGTAGAATCTTGTGGTGTGAAGTGTATGGTGGGTTTTGAGTAGGTAGAGCTCTTGCTCGATTGTCTGGTGCGCCTGCACTGGTAATTTTGTCGGTGCTCATGCACTCGATAGTTTGGCTGGTGCTCATGCACTGGAGAGAGAAGACGACGTGGTCAAGACAGCCAGGGTCGCAGGCGGCTCCAACAAAGGCGTCTGCATCCTTAGAGAAATCGGCTTTTTCCCCGACGACGGAGAGCCTCATTGGACTATCTCTTGTCTCTGGCGGCACACGAAAATAAATCACACGTTTTGCGCCATATTGTCACAATAACATGTGAATTCCTACATGACCAAACAATGTAAATCGTTTCTCTCATCAGTGACCAATAGGGATTATTGGTTTTTATTGAGGGCTACCTGCGTGCGACAACTTTACCGTTATTTATTTAATGAAGTAATAAAATATACAATAAATTATGTGTGAGCATATCATTACAGTAATAACATAGATATCTATTAAGTATTATTACTATTATAGTTAGGTACAATAAAATAATTCAGAGTTCAAGCATTCGGTGTTAAAAAACAATTCAAATTATTAACGTTTTTCACTTAATATTTTAATTTTAATAAGTTTATTTAAATTGAATTCATTTATTTTACTTGAGTTGTTATTTATACAGTTCAATATTTAAATTTTTGACATGAATAAATGGAAACGTTTAAATGGTTTTCAATATAGAACAATTTCGAGAGCACATAAAGAAAAAGAAGAAAATGTGATTAGAAAAACTTCAAAATGAAATACTCATTTCAAAATAAAGGTCCCTAAGTGAAAATACTTATAAAATGTAGTAAACATAATTCTTATTGTATTTTCATAAATACTTGGTTTTTTTATCCTGCTGTAAAACAGTAAATTACCAATTCAGTTTAATTATGTACATTAGCTCATTCTTGGTAATATATTATAAATACAATTTCATGATTAATTAATATAGACTTTTAAACATACTTTTGTTTTATAACCGTCAGAAATTATAATTTTAACTAAATTTATGATATTACAAATTTATTAAAATGTAGAATATATCTAGGTATTTAATTAAATATTATTTTACTTGATTAATATATATATATATTTGTTCATCAATATTTAATTTTAATTGATTTAACCTAATCAGAAAGTTCATAATGAAACTAAGATAATAGTTATGTTTACTTTTACAAGTTTATACTTATTACTAAATCATTCCTTCAAATTTGGCTTAAATGATTCCCCACTTTGTACACTTAGTTTAAATAAAAGTATCTGTGATCATATCTACGTAAGTAATGACTAATCAGTATCATATACACTCCCATATTGTAGTATCGTATTGTTTATTTGTTCACTGCACAGTACGTTATTATTAAGTCATTGATCATTTTATTAAATAGGTACTTTTGTAAAATAATAACAATTTTAGTTAACGCATGACTCATTAAAATTAGCTCCCCGGTACAATCGTGCCAACGCTGGCCAACCTTAATACGCCAATCATGGGGTCACAAAGCAAAGAAATATTTAAAGGTGGTCCCGGACTCGACTTGTCCGACACACATTGGCAATCGAGGCCTGGATTAAGACATCCGAGTCCCTAGCCTCTGGAAAAAATTAAATTTCATAACGTAGGCACTTTTGAATATATTTTTTTAACTTTGCATATTATGTACCATATCAATTATTATTTACTCGTTATAACTAATTATTTATAAATGAGTAATTTATTACAATAATAATTATTAGATTAGAGTTTCTACAGTAATAATAATTTCCTTATCGCATGACATAATATTATGATGCAGTACGTCGTCCAAAAATATAGCGCTCTGCGCTCATGTAAACAATTATTGATTATACATTTTATACTAATAGGCTGTTTTTAGATTTCGACTTCGAGTAAAGCGAAAGATATTTTATTTTTCAGATTTAGCCATCTTTTTGTAGGCTCTAGGCACAGTGCCTACAGTGTTTAATATGGTTATAAGTTTATAACACATTCTGTGGTCATAATACGGGCATACGGCCCTGATGGTCGGGGACAATTGTTGGAGTGTGTAAATGATGGTCATCGTAATTCAAACAATAAACAACGAAATATGGAGCTCGTCATTTATATATAAACAGTTTGCTTTGCCAAAGTCGATCTTTTTTGGGACGAAGGGGCGCACGCGAGTGTTGGACGAGTGCGTATTGATAACGAGATCCGGAAGGGTTGTTTGAAAGGGCGCCAAAATGCTGCTCATGGAAAGGCGTACGTATGGTTTTTTTTTTTTTTTGTAAGTTTAATACTTTATTGATTATATGAAATCAACGCAGCCATCTTGTATCGCGTTTTCAACTTTCCGTAATTATCGCAGCGGCGGTCTCGGACGTGAGTCGTCCTGTCCACGGAGGAACGGTTTTGAGGACGAGCGTTCTCACTTCTCGTATTTATTGGACACTATCGGACAGACAGACGAACGACAGCCACGATGACTTCCACGTTCCGTTCGAGCGACATACTCCAGCAGATGGACTTCGCTATGATCGGCACTCACTTTGCTTCCGGTCCGCTGCAAATCGACCAAGATTTCGCGGGCATCAGCGGGGTGCACTTCAACGGCAGCGGGTCGCAACAGCACTACGCCAACGACGGCGAGGTGACGCTGCAGCCCAACGGTATGCCGCCGTCGTGGCAGAGCATCGCTGCTCCTGGATCGACCGTTGCCGATTACCTGTCCCACTTGCCGGCTACGCTCACTTTGCACCATTTCCTCAAGTACTCGGGTGAGTCGATCTGCAAAGACGTGCGGAACGAAACAAAACCACCAAAGAAGAGGAAAAAACAAGGCAAACAAGCGAACGCCACCGCCGCACCCATCAGTGACGGCTGTCCGCCGCCTCCGCCTCCGACGACAACGACACCTCAGGTCAAGCCTAAACCCGGCCAGATACGGATAACGAGCTGCGCGGATGGCACCACTATGTTTGGGTGTCCGGAATGCCGAGCCGAGTACTTGGACAAGCATCTGCTCGAGGAACACCTGGGCACGCACGCGACGGAACGGCGGTTCGTGTGCGACATCTGCGGCGCTGGGCTGAAGCGCAAAGACCACTTGACAAGACACAGACAGAGCCACAGTTCCGAAAGGCCATACGCCTGTACGGTGTGTGGCAAAGCGTTCAAACGCAAAGAGCAGTTGACCCTGCACAAAGTGGTACACACGGGTGAGAAGCGGCATGCTTGCGTAGAGTGTGGTCGTGCATTTTACAGAAAGGATCACTTGAGGAAGCATGCCAGAAGTCACGCGGCCAGGAGGGATAAGAGTAGTGGGCAGACGTGTTAGGCACCGCTGTCGGTCAAAAGTAATGAGTCAAACGCGAAACGTTTGTCAATTTGTAATTAATGATTTTCATCTATATACATAATATTGTTATAATATGTATATTATTTAACTCTTGTAACTACTGTCGCTTATAAACTAATATTAAATTATACGTGAGTGCATTATAATATACCATTACCATATTTATTATGAATTTGTAAATATCATGTTATTAGTCTTTATCTATGTTTTCCTTAATATTAAAATACATATGTTATCAAAACAATGAAACTAAGTTCATTAGCAGTAATTTATTATAATAATGTATACAATTAATACATAATATAGAAAAATTAATTAATCATTACTTTAATGATGTATAATTATATATTATTATTATTTGAACAAACTTTTAATATTTAAACTATGTTGAAAGATAAAATATTTGACTATACAGTATTTTATTCATATTGATTTTTGGATTGTACAAATTCAAAAATATAAAATGTGTTTTATTATTGAGCGTTTACTTTTTTTTTCCACCCCAACCCCACAGACCTTTCACAAACCCGGAAATTCCTTCTTTATTAGCTGGGTCAGATATTGGTTGTTGTTTCTTGAACGCGGGAAGTTGTACAAAGTTTAATGCAACATCAAAGAATAATGGCTTGCATGGTATTTCTTCCATTTCAGGTGGTACTTTAATAACATTTGGATCTTTACCCAATACACTCGAATCTTCATAGTATTCGTCCAAGCGTTTTGTCAAAGGCATCTAAAATTTATTCATATTTGAATTAAAAATTATGTTAAATATGTCAAATAATTACCTTTTGAAGTTTGGCATTTGTCAAACTATCCAATTCTTCCTCGTTATCTTGTTCGAGAACACTTTGAGCATGAGCACAATATTTAGAAGACTCAATGGTGTTCACCAAATTACTCAATCGTGTCTTCAAATCATCATCGACTTGATTAATAACTGAAGATATATGATGCAATGCTCGTTCATACATAGCCATTGTATCCCTCCAACGGTGCAGAGTACTTAAACTCTGACCAATATAATAGCATCTAAAAAAAAGAAAACAACCAAAATTTAGAATAAGATAAATATTATTATATAGTAAAGTTTTATGACAAAAGATTTTTTAATATACCTAAATGCTTTGTAAGCTTTAGCTTTAATGATCAATTTTTCTTGAAAATCAGAGTCGTCTTCCAAACCAGGCAATTGTTGTTCTTCCAAAATATTTTGTATCAAAATTTCATACAATCTAGTTATGTCTTGAAGTTTCTTACTCCCCTATGTTACAATAATAATTATTAATAAATAATAAAGAGGATACAATCAAAAAGAATGGAGTTATTTGAGTATCAATAATAATTTTAAACACCATTATGAACTTACAATTGTTCCTTGTTTGCCTTCATTTTCTAATGCGCTTTCAATCAACAACAAATTACGCTGTATTGATCTTTCCAAACGAATGAATGACAAATATGTATGAAGATACTGTAATGATGATGCCGAAGAAGTTGAAGAACCATCCATTTTCTGCAAACAAATTGTATAATAATTAATTTAAACAACATAAATCAAAATTTAAATTATTTTAAATATTGACCTGTTCAGTTTTGATGTCATCCCTTATTGCTAGCATAGCATCTTTACAGTCCATTAAATGTTGTTCTAATGAATCACTCTTTTCAGCTAATGTAGTGCATTTGTCCAACAAACTATTAAAATCCCGGTTTGCCAATAAGAAAGTCCTTACACGAGAATTTTTTACAGGCACCGTACGATTTCTCCAAGTTACTTCACTTAATGAGTCTCTTGTTTGTGCCATCAAAGTCTATGTAAGCATATAATTTATTTAACTAACTATGATATCCTTATCTTACTAATAAAAATAACTAACATCTAATGTCACTAATAAATCCCCTTGTGCTTGATTACGCAAGTGTAATAGTTGATTAACATCTGTCTCGTTGCCAATGTTATAAGCACAGAACCGTAAGCTTGGTTCTAATTCTTCATAACGATTTCTATACAAAATAGCATCTTCTTCATTTAGTGCAGATGCTAATTTTTCATAAATCATTCTGAAAAATAAAATTTGTTAAAAATTAGTGACAACATTTTATGTTGATAATTGTAATCCTAAATTTCACATACAGTTATTGGATATATTATACATTTAAATGTTAGATATTAAATAATTAAAAACGAGTTTCTTTTCAAAATTTCAATAACAAACAAGTAATATTTAAAATTTTTTGCTTACTGAGCTTTCTTTAAATTTTCAATGGCTGGCTTCCACTCTTGTAATTCAAATTGCAACATTCCTTCACACCAAGCTACATAAGCTTGAGTTTCCAATTGAGTTCGAGCGTCAAATTTTTCCGACTAAAATGTATTTGTTTTCATTAAAACATATTATAAAAAAATATGAAAATTTAAATTATTCAAACATCTAAAATTATAATTTTTTTTATTTAAATACTATGATTAAAATATGTTAATTACTTAGTATTGTATGATCAATTTTTAAATCTTTTGAACATAAAGTATAATATTCGAATGATAGTTAATCAAAAAATATTGTTTGTTAAGATAAATTTGGTACTCCCCTATTATTACCAACATAGTTAAATATATTATGATGATTTTATAGCTAAAACTTTATTTTTAGATAATAATTATGAATGTCATACTTATATAAATTTATAGGGACATTTCAAAATTTAAATTACTTAGGTGCAGTACAATGAGTATTTTTTATTTTTATTAAATAGCTACAAAATATTTTTAGCGACACTGTTTTAAACAATAGTAATTAAAATCTTAATAGGTACTTTTAAAAAATACAAAATAAAAATATATTAAACAAACTAAAATTAATGGAATTAAGTATTTTAGAAAATCTGAAAACATTTAAATGGTTCTCACTCTATCAATTTTGAGTTAGAATTATTACAAAAAAATTCACTCAAACTATGGTATCTATCATAAATCAATATAATTATAAAAAAAAAAATGATGAAATATTTGGTTTAAAACTTAAATAAGTAGATACTAGCAATTTTTTAGTAATCAAATATATCTACAGCTTCTTTAGATTATTCTAGATTGATATTGGTAACTTCTTTTCAACATTTAGTATCATGATATCGTTTAGTCTTTTATCACCCATAGTAGTGCTTAATCCTTATATATATATAAAAGAACAGGCTTTTTTTATGTTACCTTTTTGTGACAACACTATTTAACATTTTCAATTTTTTTTTTTCACAAGGTTGTACCAAAAACTCCTATAAGTGATCGATTATTCACAATTTAATTTTATTCGTCATAACAGTCATTTTGAGAAAGCATAAATTACACATGAATGAAGTTGAGTAATTCAGCTAGTTTAATTTTAAGTCAGTAATGGTTTATTATTTTTACAGGTTAATTGGGACTATTTTATAAGTAAGAAGCACATCTTATTTCCTCTCTTCCCAAATGACACCACTAATAATGATCAATCATAAAATTGAATATGAACTTCATAAAGAAGAGTAATAAATATACAATACAATTATACAACAAATAATGTATTATATACTTGTATTTTTACATGAAATATATCTTTTTTTTTTGTATAGTATATATTTTATGATAATCCAGTATTAAATATTTTAAACTTTTTTTTTTTTTTTAAACTATTTTATAAATAAACACTACTCACAGTTTGGAAACCTCTGTCTAGGCCTATTAATAAACCTTAAATTTAATTCAACAAACTCTAGCTAAGAAATTTAGTGTTACCCAAAAATATGATAATAATTTATACTAATTGATATATAATATTAAAAAAACTCTACTTCACAAAGTTTTTGAAGTTGTATTGCATAACTAGCGGCTTTTCTTAATCTAGATACCAAATGGAATTTTTTCCTTGGTTCTGTATTAGCTTCAACTCGTAGTTGCATTGCATAACTCCACGCTCTTTCAGCCAACATCAATGGAATGTATACAGCCCTAAATTAAATAAATTATTACTATTAAGTAATTGACTATTTTTATTAACGTAAATATCTTTACCTTTCATCTGTCAGATTGGTTTCCGTTACATTTTTTTTACGAAAATGTCTACGATCTCCTTGTTGTAAATGCATAACTTTTCGTAAACGTCTGATACGTCTGGTGCAATAACCTCTATATATTAAAAATTAATAATTAAATATTTTTATCCAAAAAGATATTAACTATTTAATATTTACCTATATCTTTGATAATCATTGTGCCTTAAGCCATGCTGCTGTTGGGCTTCTTTAATAATCTTTAATACTGTTAGAATATTATTAAAGAATATTTAAATTTAAATAGTAGGTACCTATTTTTTTTTTAATTTCATTTAACTTAATATTAATTAAATACATTTTACAAATAAAGAACCACTGTTAGGTATGGAATATATCCAAACAGAAACATATCTTACACAGTATTTAAGTTAACTAAATTCTAGTTTTATCACTAAATTTATTTTTAATCATATATAAACCATTAATCAGCCATAAAATATAATTAATAAAGAATGGAAAATAATCAAGTAATTATTGATATTTTATATAGTTTGTAATATTGATGAATCGCTATAGTTTGAAGCTTTACAAAAGCGATGATGCGTCTCAATAAATTTAGATAAACAAAAACAAAAAATAAATATTTTTAAACAGAAGTAGGGAAATTAACTATAACATGTCATAATATTAATTTGGTAAGACGTAACACATAAAATCCTTGATTACATAAGTTATCATTTTTATTTTTAGTACACGATGAGGATAACTGTTTTTAATGTTGTTTATTTCTGTACATTAAGCATAAAATAAACAATATACAATTTATACTTTTAAAAACCGTAATTTAATTAATCAATAGAAAAAGGATACTTTCAATTGAAAATATGGGAATTTTCTTTTCTTCATTTTCTGGTACATTCTCCTTGTTACCCTCGTTGGCTAAAATTTGGTTTGACATTGTACCAGGTTAGATATAATGACAATTATTGTCAATTTAGTCCCAAACTAAAATTATAATAAATCGATAACAGAAATTATTAATATGATTAATAGTTACAAAATATAAAAACTTTC